TATTTTTAATTTAAAAACACTTATTTTAAAATAATTTTCCGATTAAGGAAAACTCCGATCAATTAATTCATAAATTTATACAAATTTAAAATATTTTCCTACTAGCTAATGGCTTGATATAATGAGTAATCTTTATTGTGATTAAGACATCCCATATACCGTATTATCTCTTATACAAGCCCAGGGCGTCTATCTTTCAATACTCCTTATTGGGTGGGCTTCTATTAGAGACAATATAAATTTATTCAATTAAAAAATATTTCTTTAAATTAATCTAAAAAATTATAGATAATCCACAAATTAATCTACTTGGTATATATAATTATTTATATACTTTTATGGCACATGTGCATAATTATTTGGAAGATTTAAAGAAAGGAATTAAAAATAATTATGGAATTAATTCTTTGAATGAAATTAGCGATAAATTTTTAAATGAAGAATATGAAAAATATTTTAAAGAAATTAAAATTGAAACAAATACTGTTAAAACAATGATCCAAAAACAAAATTTTTTATTAATTCTAGGATTACAAGATTGTAAGGGAAAGGATAAAATTGGGTTAAGAGAAGGTTTATAAATTAAATAATTTTAAATTGGGGGAAGAAAACGACCGATAGAATTGTATTTTAGAAAATTTAGAAAAACACTCCAAAAGCTGTCTCTATTTTAAATAAATTTGAGAAAATAATTAAATAATTCATAATCTATTTATTTAGCTATTAGAGATAATGAATTGATAATTATGAAAGATTTGGAAATTTTTGTAAATAAAGACCAAGCTTTTACAATAGTAAAGTTGAGTTGCGATGATGATAAAATTGAAGAAAATGAATATTGCGTAGATAACGAATTAAAAGACAAAAATTGTAAAAAAAATAAATTAATAAAAAATATATGTATTTATTTATTCTAATTAAATATCCCCCTCATCCCCTCCCCAATTTAAAGTTCATTTTTGAGATATTGAAAGAAAAGAATGGTGGGGCCATTTAATTAGAATAAATATGTCATATATTTATTTAAAAAATTAATTTTATTTTTAAGACTTCAATAATGATATAAAATTGGCTTTTCATTATAAGGAGGCATTATTTAATGAGGAAATAGAAGAAAATTTAAAACATAAAGTTTGTGATAAAAATAAATAAAAAAAAATATTTATAATTTAAGTTTGCCTCAGATTTTATTGTTTGGCATAGAGCAATAATTAAACAAATAAATAATTTACAGAATTGGCCAAATCAAAGAGTACGCAACAGCGTTCTAAATGCTTGGGAATCTAATAAAAATGAGGAATATTTTTGTTTAATATTTTCGGTATTTTACTAGTATATAAAAATTTGAGAACTAAAATTAGGCCTGAATTCTTGTGAAATAAATTACAGGGTGCGGCAAAAGTTCCCGTACTTTTATTAAACATAAAATTTATTTCAAATATTTTCTTAGATTTTATAAAATCTATAAAAAAGTGTTTATTAATATCTAATGAAAAGAAAAATTATAACAAATGTCCAAAATGCCCTCCCTCCGCCAAGATATACGCGTCCAAACGCTTAATAAATTTGCCCACTATGGTCGCGCACTCATCCACAATAATTGATCCCAGTCAAGTTGCAGCCCCGCCTTTCACAGCAGACATAATCATATGCAGTTGCTTCCAAGGAAAGGCCTTGCTTCCAAAATTGTTAAAAAAAAGCTTCTTTCGACAATTTGTAATGGTGTGGGCCGGGATTTGTGCCACTGGATCACTGGGCACAAAAACAATGGATCCCTGGGCACAGCAACAATTGTTTTGGTCGGGATGTGTTCCATTGCATTCCTGGGCACAGCAACACTTCGGTAAAACCAATTTTATGTTGTAGCAAAATTGGGCCCCTTCACATTGGGCAAAAACAATGATTGACCTCTGCGAAGAGTTGTTTCCAGGTTTTTGGTGCAAAGACATTTGGCCATGTAACTCCACAGATTTGAATGCTATGGACACACGGTTTGGCCATGATTGAAGCAGAGACTTTCACGGATACAATTTACATAAACAGAAGCAGTTAAGAGGGATTGCAACTGGGCTGGGACTCGATTACTGTGGTTGATTGCGCGACCATAGTGAGCATCAGCAGTAAGCGTTTGAACGCGTGTATCTTGGTGGACGGAGGACATTCTGAAGATTTGTTATAATTTTTCGTTTCTTTACATATTCAGGATCACTTTTTCATAGATTTTATAAAATTTAAGAAAATATTTGAAATAAATTTTACGCTTAAGAAAAGTACGGGAACTTTTGCCGCACCCTGTAATAGAAATTTCGTAAGAAAATTAGAAAGAAAAATAGGGAAGATATTTTATGGGCTCTTGTCCAGTTTATGCGTCCCATGAAAGTATATGCGTCCCATCAACAAAAAATTGAATATTTTTTGGTGTTACAAAGTAGGGGTATGGTTCCAAAGCATTTCTTCATGTTCGGGATCTACGTCCACTGGGTCTGGGACCGTTCCTTACCCTATCCCTTGAAATTTCTGAAAGTTATAGCCAATTTTTAAAAATTTCAGAAAAACGATTTTAACTTTCAGAAATTTCGAGGTATAGGGTAAGGAACGGTCCCAGACCCAGTGGACCTAGATCCTGAACATGAAGAAATGCTTTGGAACCATCCCCTACTTTGCAACACCAAGAAATATCCAATTTTTTGTTGATGGGACGCATATACTTTCATGGGACGCATAAACTGGACAAGAGCCATTTTTTGTTTCTTATTTAAAATGAGAATACTAAGGAAATATGTATATGTGTTGTTAAGGACATATGTACCTTCTAAGCCATTTAAGGTGTTCAGAAAAAAATAAGGAAACCCTTAAAAATTCAGGCGATACTGATAATTTCTAAAAATGAGTAATTCACTTGAACCATAACAATTTTTGAAATTTGGGTATTTGAACAATATTTGAAACCCTTGGGTACCCCTGTTGATAACCAGTAGTAAACAATATTAGATCTTGATTAAATTTAATTTTAAGACTATATATTAATTAAAAATAAAAAGTTTTTTTTCTTCTTCAAGCAAATAGATGATTACAAATATTTATTTGGCTATGGAGATCAGCTTAATTCATGGTTTGAACAAATGAAAATAAGTATAGAAAAGAGGCAAAAACGTGGAGAATTTTCTAAAGGAGAAAAAAGTTCTGCTGAAAGTTTGAAAGAAGACTTTCAAATACTGAAATCTAAAATTTTTAATGATTCAATTTATAAGTCGGCTAAAACTGAATTTGTGAAGTGGATTGATTCTGAAAACTTTGAACATTTAAATAAATTATTTTTTGCTGAAACTGATTATGGAAATGAATTAAGGGTGAAGGTGTTAGAAGGTAAATATAAATTAATTTAAAATTAAATTTTCAATAAATTATTTTTCATTAACTTTAGTACATAAAGGTTTTAAATAGGTAAATTGAGAGAGATTTAAAAGAATATTTTTGATAATTGATACCTTTTTAAGCAATTAGTGAAGACTCTTTATTGAGAAGATTGGAATATAGTGGATTTCTTAGTAAAGAAGCTGCTTTAGAGTTAACTGCCAGTCTTAATAATTTAAAAAATACAAATGAAAGTGAAAAACAAAAAGAAAATAAAAATAATAAAAAGAAGAAAAATAAAAAGAAAAATAAAGAAATAAATAATAAAAATATTTTGGAAAATAAAATTAATTTAGAGGTGGAGGAGGAAATTCGGGCAGAAAATGTTAATAATTTAAAAGAAGAAAAAAATATTATTGAGGATGGGCAAAGCAGTAATATTAAAATAAGTAATTTATTTTTTTAATAGGAAATTTGAATTTAAAAATAATTTTTTAATTAAATAGGTGGGATAGAATTAACAAATAAAGAAGATAATGAGAAAAATGAATTAATTGAGGATTCTAAAAATAATTTAAAAATACTAACTAAGAAGAATTCAAGAAAACAAAAACAGCAACAAAAACAAATAGAAGAAATTCCGAGTTTTAAACCCTTTTTACCTAAAAATTATTTAGAAAAGGAAGAATTATTAAATGGTTATAAAAAATTTGGGAAAGGGACTGGGTACGTTTTTAAAGGATTATTTTATAATATGTCTCCACGTGGCAGTTGGCATTCTGAGAACTCTAGAATTTTCGCCTGGGGCGCTAGGAGAGATATAACATATCTTAATATATGTATAATATTCTCTTATCAAGTCTTGAATATCCCCCCTCCAAACAAACACCCATTCCCGAATATTTGTGATTATGTTGTCACACCTCCAACTGTTGTTATACTGACCACTATAAACATTAGTTATATTTTGTATAAATTCTTCATAAATTTAGAACTCCCGAACTAATTCCTTCATTAAATATTGGTTGTATTGTTGTTGAAGTCAATAAACGTTTGGGTATAATCTCGCAAACGGACTCGGAACAACAAATTGATTTAGAAAATCCTTCATTTAATTTAATCCCAATAAAAGAAAAAATTGTTGAAATGAAAGAAAATTGGTTAGAATTATTGGAAGAATTTGGAGAGATAAAAACAGATAAAAGACTTGAAGAAGTGGAAAAAATAGTCCACAATTTTTTGAAGGAAATATATTCGAGGAATGAAGGTTTAAATTTATTTTTATTTGTTAAAATCTAATTAAAAAATGGTTGTAAGTAACTAAAAATTTTACGTAGAAGAACAGCTTCAGCAAATTTTGAATTATTAGTAAGCCTAACTAGAAAAATTGTTTTTATTTTTTTGACTAAAATTTTAGACATTTTTTGCTGAAAGTTGTAAAATTTATAAAAATTGCGAGAAAATTATAAAGGTCCACAAAATAATCCGCAATTATCTTAAAATTATTAATTATAAAATAATTAAACATTTAAAATTAAATTTAAGAAAATTTTGATCAAGACAATTCAGGCGAAAATAAAGATATTATTGTTGCAAATGAATCAGAAATTAAAATAATTACAAATTATTTACATATTAAATATTTAATGGAAGCTTTAATACCGGATAATAAATGGTCAAAAATAAGACATTCTAGGCAAAAAAGAATTCTTTGTACTTTTTTAAATAATGAAAATATTAAAAATAAAATAATTGTTGATAATTGTGAAAATGAAAAAGAATTGGAAGAAGAATTTAATTTAAAAGTTGTTGAATGGAAATTAATTGAAAATCAAATGGAAATAGGTTAGGGGGAAGGGGAAAGTTTAATTAATTATTTAGATTTAAAATTCTGGTAGATATCAGAGATATCACAAGTTACCTGAACCCCGATACCCGATCTGAAGCGGATTTTGAAAAACCAACACCCGACCGACTCCTTTTCTCAACCCGTGGCATCCTTGGTAGATATAGACAAAATATTGAAAAATATAGAATAAAAAATTATTTTTTAGTAAAAGAACAAGAAATTCCACAAGAATATTGTTACAAATACAACAATAATTCTCTAATTGATTTTCATTTATTACAAAAACTTCCATATGAACAAACAGAAAATAATGAAAAACAAGAAGAATTATTTACAAATAAAGTAAATAAATATTTTATTTATTTTTTATTAAAGAATATTTTTATTTTTTTCTAGTTATTAGAATTAATTGAAGAATTAGAAGATTCTTCATCAAAAGAAAATGAGGAAATGGCCATAAAAATAATTTTAAAAGAAATAAATGAATGGGCTAAAGAATTTAATTGTTTATTAAATAAAGAATTTATTTTGGGAGGTTCTCATTTATTGGGAGGGAAAATAAATAAATCAGACATTGATTCTATTTTGATTATTCATGAGGAAATTGGAGATGAAAATAATAATTTAATTAAATGTCCAATAACTTCTTTTGAGTTTTTTGGGCCAGAATTTGTTGATTGCCAAAATTTGGAAAATGGATGTGGTCATTTAAATAAATCTCTTTATTGCAGATTTTGTGGATATTCTGATGTATAATTAATTTTTTTTTAATTCGAATAGCTAATTTTTCATTATACAGTCTCATTTGTAGGTACTCCGGATATCAGAAAATTTCGTAGCGGTTATCGGTTCCAGATACCCAAAGAACTGCTGACCTAATAAGGTTAGCAGTTCTTGGAATATCTTTGCGTATCCGGAACTGATAACCGAACTGAGATTTTCAGATATCCGGAATACCTACAAATAAGACTACATTCCGGGGTAAAAATTGCACTTTATAATGAGGGGTACCTTTAATGTACTCTGAAGTGTCTAGGCAACTTCCCTACTGACGGGCTAATTCACGAATTGCATCTTTAAGATATTCTTATAACTTTAAAATATTCATTGTTTAGCTACAAGAAATATCTGTCTGTATAATAATTAAATTTTAATCAAACATTTTTATTTTAAATAAATTAATTTTTTCAGAAGGAAATTAATTTTTTATATAAAATTAATTCTCGAATACAAACGATTAAATTGAAAATTTTTGGTATTGATGTTGATATTTCTTTAGTTTTAATTCCTGGTAAATTTATTGGAAAAATTGAAAGTTTAAATACTCAAACAGAAAAAGGAATTAATAATTTTAATGAAATATTTGAAAAATTGGAAATGTTAATTGGGAAAAGTGAGGAAAATAAAAGAAAATTGGAAGTAAAATTGGAGGTATTTTTTTAAATAAATTAATTTGAGCTTCTCTGGGCTTATAATTTCAAAAAATATTTTTGCTTTTGATGAAGGGAATGCCCGTGTTTCAAAATTTATAAATCATTTTAGATCATTTCCTTTTGTATACAAAAATCTTAATTATCTTTTAAGTCCCTTTAAAATTTAATTGAAAATCTCAAAAAAAATAATTTTTAGGAACATGAAAATAAATATAAAAATAAATTAATTGAGGAAGAAAATAAAATAGAAAAATTAAAAAAAGAAAAGCCTTGGTTATTAAACATTAAAATGAGTAAAGAATTAATTGAAAGAAATCGTTTATCAAAATTAATTTATTTTAAAAATAAAGAAATTGACCAAATTAAAGGAAGAATGTTTTCAATTGGAGGGTATAAATCAAATAAATTAATTTTGGAAATATTGGAAATTAATGGAAATAATGAATTAATTATTAAATTTAGAATTGTTTTGAAAATGTTAAAATATTGGGCTAAAGGTTTGTTTTTGAGGGATTTTGTGGGGATTTTGTGGAAATATAATTTTTAATAATTATTAAATTGATAGGCTTATTTATAGAAGGAGATAGATTTGTTTGATTTTATCTGATAATAAAATTAATATTAAAATTTTTTGGTTAAAATAAGCTTGGCAGATCCTGGGGAATCCCTGGATATGTGGATCCGATATCTGAACCGGAAATTTCCAAAAAATCTTTCGTAATTTATTCGCATTCTAATAGCCAGAACCTTTACTTTCGACTTATGTATATTAATTAAGAATAGTAGAATATTCGAAAATAAATTTTATTTTTTTTAAGGTAATTTCATTTATGGAGGAAAATATGGCTTTTTAAATGGATCTTCTTTATCCATTTTGACTGCAAAATTAATTCTTTTATTTCCAAGTGGTTCTGTGCTTTTTCTGTTGGAAAAATTCTTTTTTGTTTATTTAAATTGGTTTTTAAATATTATTTTTAAAAAATATTTTAATTTTAAAGGAATTGGAAATACCCAATAAAAATTGAAAAATTGTCAAATTTTGGTTCTCAAGGGTGGAATTATAATTTGGATATTAAATCAAAAAATAATTTATATAAAAATGATGTTGAGGAAATTAATAAAAAAAGAAAATTAAAATATTTAATTCCAATGTTTATGACAATAATAACACCTGGATATCCTGAACAAAATACAATGTTTAATGTTAACCTTTCGACATTTGAAATTATTCAGAGGGAATTAATTAAAGGTAAATTAATATAAATTTATTTTTCAAAATTAAATATGAAGAGGGCCTTCTAAATTGTCAAAATTTAACGAGGCATTAGGTTTATTTAGAAATTCTATACTCAGAAGACTTATTTGTAGATAAAAGTTATTTCTGTAATACAGTTAAATGTCTTTCCGTTTTTTTATTGAAAGTAAGGCTGTCAGTTTCATAAATTCTTTGGTTAACCGAAACCGAACCGAAAATCTTCGGTTCGGTCCGGTTTGAAACTGACAACCCTAATCGAGAGCACAATTAAAATTCATTTAATCGTCGGAATTATAACCTTATAGATTGAGATAAGATATCTATTTTGAATTTAAAATTAAGTCTCATTTTATTTAACCATACTCCCAGGACAATTAGTAAAATAGATCGGTGAATTTATTTTTAAAAATTATTATATTCAAATATAATTTTAAAGGTTATTTAAAAATGAAAAAACTAATGAAAATAAAAAATGAAAATGAAATTACATTGGCTTTAAAAGAATTTATTGGAAGTGAAAATAAATTTATACAAAAAGTAAGGGGCACTTTTTTAATTTTAAAATTAAAAATAAATATTTAATTTTTAGTATGACCATTTTATGTTAATTTCTTGTATTTCTGAAAACAACAAAAATTTGGAAAAATTTTGTTTTTTTATTGAGAGCACAATCAGAATTCAATTAATTAATTTAATTATTGAAAATATTAATTTACGTTATACACATTTTTGGGAAGAACCAATTAATAAATGTTTTGTTGAAGGTGGAAAGAAATTTGTTGATAAATTGGAAAAGTATAATTTTAATTTTTGTTAAAGATTAAAAATAAATTTAGGAAAAATTTTAAAAAATATCCTTATCTATTAGTTGGCGTCATAATTAGTGTCTCAGATGTCGAGGGAGACGGCTGTTATTAAGCTCGGCCGGTTTAAATGAAATCCCGTTATTTCTACTGCTTAATTGTCGAGGGATAACTGCTGCTATTTACATTTGGATCTCGTTTTTATTTATTTAGTGATGAACAAAATATATGTAAAATCGGATATCTGACTATATTTGGTACACTAATCCTTCTAAAGTTTTGCAAATTTTTTTTAAATGATATGGTCCTCCTAAATATTTCTAAATTTGATCATTTTTGTTTTTTAACTCATAAATTTCCTAATTTTAATATTAATTAATCTTTAGTGGTTCAATATGTAAATTTTGGTTAGTTGGGTTAGAAAAGGAAGAAGACACAAAAGAATTAAATAAATATATTGGATTAGAAAAATTTTCAGAAGAAATTCGGGAAAGAATTCCAAAAATATTTAAAAATTCTGGAAATAATATTCAAACATTTTATTTGACACAAAATGATTTATTATTACTCGATTAAAGAAATATTTTTAAAGAAAATAAATTATTTATAGAGACAGGATTTTTAGCCACGATAAAGTTAAGAATAGGCGCCTATATAGGCACTAAAAAACTGCCAAAATAGGCACTAAAATCTAAAAAAAGGCAAAATAGGCAGGCTTTTTTCGAGATTTTCTGATTTAAATTGACTAAATTTTATCAAAAAAGATAAATCTAGGCAGTAAAATGTTAAATAAATAAATTTTGACGATCAGAATTAAATATAAATTAATTTATATTAATATTTTTGTTTACGAAAATAATTTGATAAATTTTTCTGAAGAAAATTTTTCCCAGAAAAATTTTTTACAAAAATTTTTTGGAAAAATTTTATATTTCATAAGAAAAAAATTTTTTTAGACAACAATTTTCGCAAAAAATGCCCAAAAATTCGCAAATTTTAGTAAAAATATGCAAAATAGGCTGAAAAAAGGCAAAATAGGGCATTTTGCCAGAAAAAGTTAAAATAGGCAATTTTAGGCAACGATAAAAGTTGTTTGAAAGCAGGTTTCAAAAAAATAACACCAGATTTGGACGTTTTAGCATCAGGCCTATCCAGGAAAAAAACAGGCATTTTGCCTAAAATCCTGTCTCTAATTATTTATGTAAATTATTTAGGCATACCATTTTATTTTTGTTTGATAAAATTGTTTATTTTTAGTTTTTATCCGTTGGCGTGAAAATATTAAAAATTAGCAGCAAATTAAATTCAGCTTATAAAATAAATTTCAGTTTATAATATAGTAAAAGAAAATATCCAAACCGAAATTTTTGGATATCATCCAGCATCCGAGATTTTTTTCGGATCTGATACCCCGATCCGCCAAACTTACTCCTAATTTCAACTAAACAATTATTAACTATTAGTAATTTAAAATTTTGTAAAATATTATAGCATATAATTAGTAATTTAACAGCTTTTTTCAAATTAATTTTTGTTTTCGACATTCTACACTTCTAAATTATACTACTCTAGTATGATTTTTATTTATTTTTTCAAATTTCCAATTTTATTGGGCTCTGTTTAAACTTTAAAGCAATAAAAGTTGCTACAAAATAGGCTTGATGCCATCTAGTAAAAAGATTAAGACCATTTAATAGGTGTAAACTATAGCTACAAAAATTCACTTAAAGAAGGCCAAAATAAAAATTTTTAGAGTAAACATTAAAAAGCATGAGAAGAAACATTTTTTCCAAATTAATGGCCGACAAAGTATTTATTTTTTGGTATTTAGTTGAGAAAGAGTAAAACAGAAAAACTAAATTTAATTTTGGGGTAATATTTTCTGTTTTGGTCCAATAAATAAAAGGATTTGTAAACAAAAATAAATTTAAAATGAAAAACATGTGAATTATTATAATTAGTCTAAAGGAATATAGTAATTCTGTACTAAAAAATTAATCTTTTTTTTTATTCGGAAAAAGATCAAATTTTCTGTTAATTATTTTTCAATTTTTTATTTTACAATTTTTCTAAATATTTTTAGCGAAATAAATAACCCTTTAAAATATTTGCAGACTTGTGATTTTGTTTTTCTGCCATAAATAAAACACAAAAAAAAATTTTATATCTATTAGCTTAATACACAGAAACACCCCATAAATACTATTTTAAAAACAAACTTTTTCTAAATTTATTTATGTAAAATTCTTTTTTAATTAATGATTATAAATATTTATTAGATATCGGATTTTTGGGTTATAAAACCGTAAAGTAGGTACTTAAATAGGTTGTAAAAATATCAAAATCTGTTTCAAAAATGAAAGATAGGTTGCAAATTAAGGCAAAAATGCTGAATATTTTGTATTTTCCGTTCAAAGATTTCATTGGCATAACAAAAATGTTAAAAAATTCTCATTCTTTATACCGAAAAATATTAATTAGGAGAAAGTTTGTTGAATTTTTAAAAAATATTTTTCCATAAATTAAAAATTTTTTGTTATGCGAAGAATCGAAAAATTGTAAATTTTTTCAGAAATTCATAAAAACTGCTCAAAACAGGTGACAAAAGCATAGAAGCCTTTATAATAGGTTACACCTTATCTTAGGTGACAATAACTCCCTGCAAACAAAACATTCTTAAAAAATAACAATGGATTTGAGCTCAATTCATCATAACTATTTTGCAAAAAATAGGTTCTAAATAACCCAAAAATTAGAGCCCTATCAATCAAAATACTTTTTATTTTAGAGATTTTAATTTAAAATATTACCAAGATAAAGATGAAATTAATTAAAATTTTCTTTTTAATATTTTATTTATTTTTATTTTCATCATGTCGTAAAGTGCCTTATGGTCCTAATCAATTACACAACAAAAGCTTACATAATGGTACTACAAAGAAACCGAAATAATTATTGTTAACAAAATGCTTAAAAAAGGAATACAATATAAAGGAAATTAAAAAATATGGAAAAACATACATTTTAAATAGAGCCCGGACGGAGGGCTCGGTCGATATTTTTTCGATAAATATCGAAAAATATCGAAACCGAAAAATATCGAAAAAAAAGTCTCGATATTTTTCGATTTTTCAAAAATTTTTCTATAACCAGTGAATAACAGAATAGACCTAATAGTTTAATGAGATTAAGATTTATTAAGTCGGATTAAATGTAATATCAATGAACTTGTATTTGATATCGAAGGATCAAGGGGATATAAGTGGATTTTAACTAGGGTGGATATGGATTAAGGTGGATATTGATTAAGGTTGATATTGATTAAGGTGGATATTGATATCCGTTTTGAAATCCATTTCTCACAAAGCTCCGTCTTGATCCCTCGAGATCCATTTTATCCACTTAATCCTATATTAGTTATACAAATAGTCGATTACCCTGGATATCCGTCATGATCCTTGGATATCTCAAATATCCCACCAAATCATCGGATATCCCATCAAATTACTCTTAACCCACTGAAATCTCCCTTAATCTCCTTAAATCTCCCTTAATCTATATTTGAGATATCCAAGGATCATGACGGATCTTTCTTAATTCATATCAGTGTTTTGTGGGAATATCGAGGGAATATGATGGATTAAGGGGACCTGGTTTTATGAGGGTAATTACCCTGGGTAATTATTATTTCTACCTAACGCTGGAGGGGGTAATTAATCATGAAGAGGTGCTAAATTTGGAGTATATCTAAATAGATCGAGGAGGAAATTGAGTTATTTTTTTGATATTATGTCTTAAAATGTTTCAATAATTAAAAATAATAATGATATTTTCAATATTTATTCTTGAAATTTGTGTAGGAAAAAGAGAGGGTAATTATTCGAGCATTTACGGTATATTTTTAAGCAAAATATATGTAATTATGCAAATTTTTAGCTTTCTTTAAAATTTTGCAAAAACTGTCGCAAAATTTTTGTTTATGTTGAAATTTTAGAAATTTTAGCGGCGAAAGAGAAGCAAGTGCATGTTTTCATGCGGATATGCCATAATGAGAGAAGCCCAAAAACGATGTTTTTACTTTGGGGAAATCCTAATGGGGGAAAAATTAAAACAATGTTTAGGGATTATTTGTTTTTTTACAAAAGTTTGTGGGTGCTTAAACTTTCTTGACGGAGTGTATGTAAATAGTTCTTTAAAATTTATAA